TACTTTGTTATAGTCATCTATAGTGGTTATTAGCATCAAAATTTAAATTTAAATTTGAAGAAAGTAAAAGATAGTAATTTTATTTACAAAAACAATTCTTGACATTAGTAGTTTTAATGATGTATTATAAGCTGCTTAGAGCTGGTGTGAGGACGTTAAACAGCTCATAATTCTCTCTATAATAATTATTTTATATTGTTGTGAAAACATCTCCTTCAAATAACTGGATTTATTCAAAACTACATTTTACAAGATTACATTGAACACAGTAGAGCATGAACGCATCATGATGTAACTCAATGGAACCTCCGTACGTTAGCTCCGATGCTGCTAACGTTACTAGCTTTCCTCCTTCTGATCTCTACAAAGATTTGTTTTTTACTATGTAATGTTAATGCCGGTGGCGTATATTTACAGAATGTCGGCTGATTACGAGAAGCAGTAACACACACTCTAATGATGCTGAACCGTGGGGATGGGGGGGGGACTGCTTGGTCAAATGAAGGTTTGAGAGGTTCCCGAACCTAACAGAGGGGCTGACCCAGAGATTAAATATAAAACATACAAACTGAAGCTGAAGTTACAGTGACTCTATCCATGTATTTTGACTCTTAGAACCCTCTTCTTAATAAAACATCTCAGCCAACCTCCGCAGTACAGAGTCCGTACTGTGACGTCACGTCAATGGCCTGTTGTGATTGGTCCAGACTTCACGATAGTAGTATAATAAATAGTGTCTCATTAGAGAAGGAACACATGTTTTGATTCTTTACTGTGTATTTATATGTTGATTTTAGTTAAGAAGATAAATGTTAACCACTGTTAACATGGTGTCATTGAACACCCTCGGACTTTTGATCCCATCACAAGATGCCGATTAACGTTCAGACGATCACCCATATTAATTGATAACCGTAATTGTTTCAGCTCTAGTGAAAATCTTGGATTTAAATGTTTGCGCCACATTTATTCATTTCTGCTGAACTGTCGAAATGCCCGTAGCCCAAGCTAGCCACCACAAATAGAAACATATGTAGAAATATATATGCAATTGAAAGTTCCACATGTGGTGGAAGTGTGCTTGCCTGCAGATGTTCAGTGAGAAAAGACCAGCTAATCATAGCAGGTCTGAAACCAATGCCTGTGACTGATGAGATAATCAGTGAACAGACATTGATGCACAAAGAGATGTCATTTAACATCACAGCGATCAAGCTGAGTGGGGAGGACATCATCATTAGCACATCATTAATTGTGCACCAGACATCATATGAGTCATGCTATTAGTTTTTTTTCCATTGTGTCACACGTGCCGTCCCCACTCGGATCCTCTGCACCTTTACTCGGGTCCACACCAGCTCAACTTGATGGAGCCACGTAGTTGGGCTGAACAGGGAGATGCATAATACCTGCAGGGCAGGTTTGCCCTCCTCCTATCACAACAGCATGTCTCAGTGTGCGTTAACCCGACTGCATGTGACAAAAACACCTGAGTCAGAGGCAACAGCTCTGAACTGGTCAACACACTGGTTCAGTGCAGAGCAAACAAGAAGAAGAAGAAGTGGACATATCTGGGCTAAATCAAGCACTGGAAGTGTCTCTGTCATTACTGTGACCGTGAGGTTAACCAGAGTATTTCTGAAGCTTGAATGTATCCAGGGAAGAGTGACTCAGCGTGGATATTCACGGTCACACGGTTCCCCGCGCTCCCAGCATGGAGCTGCTGCGGTCTTGCACCGTTGGCCAATGAGCGAGGACTGGAAAGATGGGGGGTCAAGTGCCTTGCTCAAGGGCAACAAAACAGAACGGGGTCAGTCTGAATTATCGCGTTCACTTTGCACAACTTCCCCCCAGAATGAAGACCTCGTGTGCACAATGAAACATTTAAACTTGGTGAAGAGAAGCTCCTCACGTTTCGGTTAGTAAACCTGACTGAACGAGCTCAGTCTCTGAGTGCCAGCGGGGCCAACCGTCGCTCTGTGACAGCATGTTTTATAATAAAGGGTAAACCATTGTCTTATTTAAATGGGAATGTGGTCTCTGTCTTTGGTGGTTGGTTTATTTAAAACGATGACATTGTAACAGAGTAGGCTACATGAGCTTATAAATTGGCACGGACATCGCATATTTACATATCAACATGTATTTTTAGCACAAACGGCAATCAATATGAGAGGGAAAGAATGAATGAAGTTATACTCTTACAGGTGTCTGTTGAAGCTGTCCAGTTCATCAGGGAAGAACACGTCTCCTCCTTCTCCAACAACTTCTCCTTCTTTGCGTTTGGATTTCTTCCGTTTCAGCTTAAAGGACAACAGCCGCCTTCCCTTCTTCTCTTTTTGGGCAACGGGTAAAACATCACCGTCCAATGTGGCGTCGTGTCCCGGGCTGAGGGGACCGGGGCTGACCGGTAGAGTCCCCGACCTGACCCGGGGGCTGGTCGCTGCCTCATCCTGGAAGGAATCCGACCGTTTCGGCTCCTTGCTGTCTTTGAATTTGAAGAGGCGCTTTACTTTCAGGGTGCTGGACGTACTCATGGCGTCCGAAAACCCGGGGTGCTTGTTCACAAAATGCGAGCAGGAAAATAAAAGCAGGAGAAGAGTGCTCCTACTTTTCAGCAGCAGGAGGAGGGATTCACCGAAACAACCTGCAGAGCGAGTTCCCGCGAGGGGTTTGACTTGCTCACATCGGTCGCGCGCGCCACCAGGTAAGAGACAAGTGCAGCAGAAGAAAATAAATGTTACGCTTCTGACTATACCTTCAGAATATAATGTTTGTGTGTAGCGAATGTTCGAATTATCCAGATGCATGCTGATTTAACGTTAGTCTTTATATTTGTGTATATGTATACATACAAATATATATATATAAATATATATACAAATATATATATAATATATATGTGAATATACATACACACAAATATACATACAAATATATATATACAAACATATATATAAATATACATACACACAAATATACATACATATATATATATATATACATATATATATATTTGTGTATATATATATAGATATTTGTATATCTTCCTCATGCAGAATAAACAAAAATGCAAGTTAAGTTTAAATAAAAGGGAAATGGAAATAATACAAAATGCAAGTAGCCTAAAGACCAAACTAAATATCATAAAATGGTTGGAGTATGGGATATCATTAGTTACCTCTGCCACAAAAACTATTTATTCATGGTGACGGACCTGATTTTTGCCATCTGTGCATCAGAAGTATACACTTCATTACAGTATCCAGCTGAATATTGATATGAGTTGTGTTATTATCCATCACAGTCTCATGGCAGTTGGTGAACTCTATTGGTTTCGAGTACATGGACACGAATTGTATCGTATTTTTCGAGTTGCTCAGAACAACTTTTTTCGGAACGACATTACGTTATGAACGAAAGTTAGGTTCAGACAACAAAACGCCTGAGTTAGGTTTAGGAAAAACACCATGGTCGGGCTTAAAATAGGTAGTACAGGTTTAGGCAACAAAACAAGACCACTACCATAAAACCACGACGCGGTGTCAAACACCGGTCTGCTAGTTGAAAGTCCTGTGTTTGTTGGACCCATCCACCTCCCGCCCAGCATAAGCGATCTTTTTGCAAATTGAATTTGTGTGTCCACTTTCCATTGGTATTGTTTTGGTGCTGAGTGACATGAATATAAATGGACAATTCGTGTACACGAAACCAATAAATTGCCTTTTGTGACTATTTTATGACCTTCCATGATACTGGGCTGTATTATCTCACACAGGAGTTAACATCAAAAAGCTTTTATTTTGAAAGCAAACATTTCACCAGCAGCTTCTTGCATGATACAGCAGCTCTTGGATGTCTCTACCTGTCCAATTTAGTCTCACCTTAATGCAAACCTCCATTTGCCCTTTAATTACGTTCTCTATACTCTCTGTAATTAGAATGCTTTATATTTCTGTATGGGTGGATGTACGTGTTTGGCTCTGAATTTAAGGGAGCGGTACAAGTTCCCCAACATGGAATTCAAAGATGTCAGTAATGTTTTATGATAATTAGGTTTATCTCAATTTGAACATAAAGTTCTATAAGCTTTTAATGCGTATAACTTTAAGAGAGCACTTTTTAAGGCCCAGAAGATGATTGGTTCCAGAAATAAAAGTCCAGGATGGATGGTTGGACCCTCCATTACTTGACAATAACACATCAGATCTAGCAGTTTGTCCACATAAACCTTAAATGTTAAAAAGTCAAAGGTAGTTATGATGTACTTTATCTAACATGTGGGTCAGACTCAAAGTTCACTAATTATCTACAATCTACTGACGTGACAACAGCTCTGTCTGCTGGTCATGTTGAGGAAAAGCAACTGCAGCGTCTATTATTACAGTGTAGTGCACACGTACTTCTTTTCAGACAACCATCCTGGCACAGAACAAGTAAATGCTCCAAAAAGATCAGAACCGACAGTTCTGTTAAGGATTCATAACGGCTAGATCGGAGTTTACGATGATATAATAAATACGTAAAGCTTACAAATTACAAAAACAAGCAGAAAACCCGAAAAAGAAAAGTTAAAAACAGTATGCACAGGCAAAAAAAGAGATTTGAAATCAACATAAAAAATAACAGTAAATTAGAAAATAGAATACATTTTTTGTTTTAAACCTAAGATGTAAACTGGAAACAAAACCATTTTGGATAAAGAATTCAAACCAGCTGAGATTAGAGGGCATGAGAGAAGAAAGAGAGTGTGTGTGAGAGGTCTGCGTGTGTTCAACAACAGAAAGCGAGAGTGATTGAGGGCAGCAACCTTTCATCCTTTGCTTATTCGGTGTTTCATTGAGGATATGAAATAACTTCTCTGTATCTTTAAAGAGAGACCTGCTCTCATCAATTTGACAACATTTGGATGGCATAGTTGCTCACGAAAACAAATCATTTCCTTATAAAGCGTCAACTTCGAGTGGGTGGTTGTCGAGACTGTGAGCAACTGGGGTGAATCCAGCAATGTTGCAGTAAATCAAAGCGTTGCCTGGAAAGCAACAGAAACCTCCAAATGTGCATCTGAGGGGGCGTGTCCCTGCAGGTGAGTGTGACATCAAAAGAAGAGGAAGATCAGTGATGCGCAGAGCCTGTGAGAATTAGGGGCTTCTTCTTCTTCTTTTGATATTTGAAGCGTGACATAAAGCCCCAACACTGAACTCTGTCTTCATAATCAGCTGTGACACCCGGGAGGAACAGTTTTCACTCTCTTTTGACTTGACGACATCGGACGCAGAAGATAAAGAACCTTTGGTCTGCAAGGTATGTCAGTTCTGAATAGAGGATATGAGCACAAATACGAGCTTAACGCTCCAAAATATGTACTGGATTACTTTTTTTCAGTTTGGTGACTGGAAAAACGTATTTTATTGTGTCTACATTATTGTTAATTTAGCAGCATCTAAAAGTGAAACTGTAATTTAATGATTAGGCCTTGACGTAGTGAACGTGATACATTTTAAAACTGTACTGATCAATGAAAAATAAATCAAACTTTATTTCAGACTCAGGGTCCATATAAGACAAATACATAAAATGATATACAAGAACAATAAAAGTACATAGACCAGCTGTACCAATGTCTCCACAGACTGGAACTGGTAGCTTGTGCTACTAACCTTATGTTGGTTAAAACCAGGATGATGTAATTTTCAGATTCATTAAGCTGACAAATAAATGTATACATAAGATTTCTTAAAACAGTTTGAAAAGTATTGACTCCTGCAGCCACGAACATTTCACTGGCACTACTCCATCTCGTCTCTTTAGTACTATAGTCAATAAAGATTGACTTAGATCCCTTTTAAACCTGAAGCTGATCACTTTTTCAATGTGGTAAATGCATAGTGTTTCACAGGCGGAACACTTTTACAGAACTGTCAGTCAGTTCTGTAAAATATGGAAGCAATATTTTACGGAGAATGGAGTTCTCAAAACAAGTCTCTAAACAAAAGGCTCATATTTCTCTCGTTCTGTCTTCTCCCCAGATAGATATGAGCAAAACCTAATAACTTCCTCATCGACAATGAGCAGAACTACATATAAATATCATCTTACTCTCGTGACTTGTGAGAAGTGAGAGTGCTGAAACGAGAGATAACATCACATTGTCATATCTGCTCCATACATTGGGTTTTCTGAAGAAGTGAGTTGAAGCATGCGACACGTTTCTCGTATGCTACTATTTGCTTAAAGGAGAAATCCTGTTGATGTGCTTGTGTACTTTCTCACTAATATTCATCAGATAAAACAGAAAAGTCTACTGTTCGTGTGTGAAGCAGAGGAACTCTTTGATCATCACTTTTTGATTTGCTGGTGTTTACCAAGCTCGTTACGTGTTAGTGACCTTCCTACACACACCCTGATACAGATCTAATCAGCCTGTAAGATCAGACGCAGCACAAAGTGCAGCCACCTGCTGCCTACCTTTGCATGCATTCACGTGTAATTAGGTCACTGACAGCCGGAGGAAGAGCTGAACTAGAACACAGGCTTTTATCCTGTAAACAGACATAAAAGCTGTGAATATGTGATGTGAGTGTTACCCAGTCATTGCAGGGTGTACGTTGTGCTCTAAACATGAACAAGGATGCTAGGTTATATGGTGGTACCACTTTACATCTTTATTTTATAGTGGAGGGTGTATTCAGATTTGTACTTCAGTAAAAGTAGAAATACCACAGTTTAAAAATGCTTCATTACAAGTCAAAGTCCTGTATTCAAAATGTCACTGGCAAGTAACGAAGTACATTTGCAAGTGCAAGTACTGTGCTTAAGTCCAATTTTGTGGTACGTTCTACTTCTACTCCACTTTTACAATTATAGCTTCAGTTACTAGTTTATTTTGCATATTAACAGAAAATATACTCAACTAATAAATCATGATGTAAAACCATATATTTGGCTACCCAGCAGTATATGAAGTATAGCTACAATCAGCCCCAGTTTTACCAGCTGCAATATTAAAATGATGTACACATTAATGCATCAATAGTTATTATCCAATAATATCATATAGGTGATTCTGAAAAAAGGGACGTTTTGCATAATTCATTCTTTTCCATTCAGTATATTTTGACACTAATATGTATTTTTACTGAAGTAACATTTTAAATGCAGACTTTTATTTTTAACATAGTATTTCTACAGTATTGCAGTTTTGCTATTTTTCACGTAAGTAAAAGATCTGAGTACCTTTCCTTCCACTGTATTAAAGGTACACAGGCAATATCATAATGCATTAATACTGCCAAAAGTGAAACTGCTAATTATGAAGAAAAATTCCTTTCATGGTTATATTATTACAAATCTAAGCCAAAAGTAATTTTCTAACACTTTTTTTTATTGTGTTTTAAACAATAAAAAATGATATATACAAATAAATAAATAAATGTGGTGGAGTACAATATTTGAAATGCTGTGGAGTATAAAGTAGTATGAAGTGAAAGTAGCCCTGTACTTAAGTACACTGCTTCTACTATAATTAGTAGAAGTCCACCACTTCCCAAAGTAAGCCTTATTAAAACGTGACAACAGATTTTGTTTGACATTTTGTTGTATTCCCTATCTATTGTCCGTTTGGTGGAAATGCTCATCTTTTCTCCTCCAGATCCAAAACATGTTGACGGAGACTCCAGAATATGATTACAGTACAGTGGAAGATTACTCATACGATGATGGGCTCTGCAACCTCGACCCCAACCCCGTGGAAGTCATCACCCAAACGTACATCCACTCCATCATCTGTGCCTTCGGCCTGATTGGCAACGTTCTGGTGATCGTCACCTACATATTCTACAAGAGAACCAAGACGATGACCGACGTCTATCTCTACAATGTAGCCGTGGCGGACCTGCTCTTCGTGGTCGCCCTGCCATTTATCATCTACAACGAGCAGCACAGCTGGTTAATGGGCTCTGTGGTCTGCAAGATACTGAGGTCAGCCTACAGTATCAACCTCTACAGTGGCATGCTCCTGCTGGCGTGCATTAGTGGTGACCGCTACGTTGCTATAGTCCAGGCCAGAAGATCCTTCGGTGCACGCTCACGCACTCTGCTCTACAGCCGCCTTATCTGCTCAGTCATTTGGGTGTTCGCAGTGGCTTTAACTCTGCCCACACTCCTCTACACCGAGCGCTTTGAAGAGCACAGTCTGGGGGCTCAGACCGCCAATGTCATGTGTCAGCTGTCTTTCAGCAAGACAGAAACTGCCAAGCTAATGAAGGTGGTGGTTCCCAGCCTTCAAATGGCCATTGGCTTCCTGCTGCCTCTGCTGGTGATGGTGTTCTGCTACTCCAGCATCGTGTGCACCTTGCTGAGAGCCAAGAGCAGCCAGAGGCACAAGGCCGTCCGCGTGATTATGGCAGTTGTCGTGGTTTTCATCGTGTGCCACCTCCCCTACAATGTCACTCTGCTGAACCACACTCTGTCTCTTTTCAAGGAGAGGAGTTGTGAGGCAGAGAAGATCAAACTCCAAGTGCTGGCCGTCTCCAGGAGCATAGCGTACTTCCACTGCTGTCTCAATCCCGTCCTCTATGCCTTTATCGGGGTGAAGTTCAGGAGCCACTTCCAGCAAATAATGTTGGACTTGTGGTGCTTTAGCAAAAAGTACATCTACACCGCTTGCTTGTCACGCACGACGTCCGATATTTGCATCTCAGGCCGCATGTCTTCAGATGGCTCCAACAACATGATGTCATTCAGTGCATGACACTGAAGCGGTACAAGCCGTTAGCAATGCTCATTAGCATGGAGCAGCCTCTCATCTTTCCCAACAAGCTGTTACTTTGCTTTAGCTGTACATAAGTAGAGGTGAACGCATCTGTGCAAAATGTGCTTGAATAAAACATGTAGGGTATTTGAAATCTACTGAACTCTCAGCAAACATTAGCAAGTTACCTTCAATATAACATACAATAATATTGTTGAGGTCTTTTTCTCCAAACTGTTTTAAAAGGCACTAATTAGCATGTCACTTTCAATATGAATGTAATTTATATGATCTAAAATGGAACATCAACACACATGATAAAGTGAAGTACCGCAAAATCTATGGTTAAATACTTAAATAGATACTAAGCAATTACAGGTTGTCAATGCGATATTTAGAGCAGAGGTATTGCCTCCACGCGGCTCTCAACATGGTGGCACTGAGCAGGTTTAGGCAACCAACCTACTTGGTTAAGTTTAGGAAAAGATCATGTTTTCGGTAAAAAATGAACCCTTTCTAGCAGAAAGCCAAGAAGGCAAACTTCTTCCATGTGCAGCCGGCGGTTAGCAGCTAACTTAGCCAACAGTGTACAGACTTGTTAAGCAGGAACAGCACAGGTGTAACCAACAACACAGTGGCTCCATTCTATGTAACAGTCCCAGTTAAATATCCACAATACCATAATTGTGGGTCCTGGACAAGGAACACCTAAATGGGACAAGTCAAGTCAAAATGTCAAATGTCAAAATGTCTGCTGTGAGAAACGTCTATACAATGTTTTTACATGGTTTTATTATTAGGGCATTAACATGGGAAGAATATCTGCCGATTGTTGAGGTAAAAAGATACATTCTATGTCAATATCCTTGTTTCCAAATACTCAGATGGACATAACATTTCACTATGATTTCATATCGTCTCTCACGTATTGAGGCACATGAAATTACATGTCAACTACAATTGTTGATGTTTTTAGTTAGATAATTGAACTGAAATGTACATGTTGTTGATGACATTATTCTCTTCATATCTGTTAGCTGGCAAGTTTTGATCCACTTGCATTTGATTTCAATTCCGAAATCTCTGATTGATCTTTACTGTTACAGAAAAATAAATAGAATTTATTAATCCCAAATGATTAATTCATCCCTTGATTTTGAACAAATCATCACAAACATCTAGATATATTTGTTAATGATGTATTATACGTAAAATCTCACCCAAAACCCATTTTGAAGAAGTTGTGAGTCTTTTTTTGGCGCATTACCCTTCTTCACTGCTGCTTGTTATACCAGCTGGACAAAAAGTTAAATTCTCTGTGATTAATATGAAAAAGATGAAATAAGACGGTCTGAGATGTTTTTTATTTACACAACACCGTCTACGGCATAAACCCTACAACATACATGAGTATGACACAGAACCATAAACTATGGGACACTGTCACAGGACTTGTTGACTTGGATGTTCAGTGCGTGGAAACCAACTCACGAGGGCTGCTTTTGGTTCTATCTTTAAAAATATAACTGGAAGCACTGATGTACAGTATGATTGTGACACATTTGGATATCTTATTATTCATGTCACATAACAACATCTTGTTTTATTGTATTCCTGTGTATGATTTTGAGCAAGTCCGGTCATTTAAGAAAAGAAAAGGATGAGAACATAATTGTTCTTCTCTACACATTTTCTAGAACCATAGGCATCCTATTTTATTAAGTTTTCCATATTTTGCATATCAGATTGTTTGCTTCTGTCCTATTTCCTTATTAAATCCTTATTAAATCCCTTAAAAAGTGTATTTTCTTTAACAGTCAATCTGCATTTGAAATAATAAACAATAATATTGATAAACAGATAACGATACTAACATCTTGTCCCTTTGCCTATGCAGAATCTGTGGGCATCGGGACAGGATCTGGGGATCAGAAGCGCTCTTGTTTCTGTTTGTAGTCAGCGTAGTATTGACCAATCGGGTTGGAGCAGGCTTTGGCTGAAGGTTGAAGGTCTGTGTGGAGAGCAAAAGAGGTGGAAGGCATGAAGAGTGAGATTGGTTAGTGTTACGGTAAGAATATCAGGTTAATCCGAACAAAGGAGTAGGACTGGTCATGCCTCTTTCTCAAGACAGATACAACTTAATTTTACACTATTAATATTCTCTTTTAATCATCACATGAATAACGCTGTAAAATAGATGATGTGCCATTAAATAGCATGTGAAACACACTTAACTCAATGCTGATCAACTTTTCTGCAATCTGTCAATGTCTTCTTTATGGGGCAAGCCAGAAAATATATCTTCCTGTACCCATGAAGGTCACTTCCTGTGGTTGGTTTACAATATACGTCAAAAGTGACAAATGCCACCACAGGTTTCCAGAGTCAAGGGGGTAAAAGCTTCAGAGATTTGCGAGCATAAGCTGTTAAAGTGGAACAACAGTGGATTTCCCTCTGAGGCACGGAGCACAGATACATATGTAATAGAGGTCCTAATAGAGTATAATTCAGTGCACATCAACAACAGCATGAACGTCATTGATTACCTGTTCGAAAAAGTATTTTTAGGTCCACTGACATTTCATGACAGACACGGAAATTGTTATTCCACGATTTGGTGACAATGTGAAATGTGCTTCAAAGCACAGCGCTCTTATGGGGTGTG